TAAAGTGATTGGATCTGGGGGCAATTATGGATGCTTTAGGAAATGTATATTTAAAAAGGTATGCCAACCATGCAACGATCGTGGTTATCATCGCGGGAAGAGAACCACTGGCGATCTTGAACGTGTCCGAAGAGTCGGAGGAGGAGGGCCGTCGTGCAACGGAGGTGCAATATAGAGTGGAAAGAGAAGAGAGAAACGTGTCAGTGTTAATATTTGGTTACCTTAATGCCGAGAAGAGTAAGTATTTGTAGAGTAGACTTCTTTTAACCAATGGTCAGTCTGGAATAACATTACAACTTGAAAACATAAAGTTAACTTAACATATAGATCCATGGCTTAACATATCGTTCCTCCATGATGTGATTCGAAACTAATCGTAAGATATATCTAAAATAAATGTGCTTCCTTAACTGTATATTATGGCAGGTAGACAATATAGCAAAACTACGAACTCTGCGTTTGTTTGTGTATTTGAATTAATTAAATATAGTATGCATACATGGAAAGTTTCAGTACACATACACAAACAATGTTACTGCATTACATCTTGAAATATACACATCTTGCAATATTATTGTTGATTGATAATGGTTTTGAATAATTTTAATACTGAATTAAATTTTAAAATAGTTGTTTTATTTTACAATTAAGAGCACCTCGTCAAATCTTTCTGGCGTTTCCATGTATAATGGTAAACATCGAGCTATAAATGTAAAAAAATATAATGTCTGATTTGGGAGAAAACAAAGGAGTTTAGGCGTATCTGTATGAGGTTATAGTGTACATGACTTCAGCAAACACAACCGTTTTTGATATAGGCCTAGATCTTATTTTATTAAATTAAGCATTTTTGAAAGTGTAAATTAGTTAATTTAGATCCATTAGCGATGAACTGCAGTTAACAACATGTTTTTTTTTAATTTATATTTTTTAACAATTCATATTTCTTCAAAGTTTTTGATTACTGATAGTGTCTTTATGTTTTAGAATTCCATTCGATGATGACACACTGTGAGGACCCTGGGGCAATAGTTAAATAATAACAATCAAATCACAGGGGAAATACGTTTAACTAAAAACAAAATCAGGGCCGTCACTTAATGGGGGGAAATAAATAATTAACAATTGGTAGCGTGACAAGTAAATATATGGGGGCAAATGAAATAAATACAACAACAATGAATGGTAGCGTGGAAATTTGGAAAGTAAATTGGAATAAGCGTAATTTAAATCAATGGTAGCGTGGAAGTTAAAATAGTTAAATTAAAGTGAATGTTCAATTTATATGAAAGGGCACTAAAGTGTATAATATGAAGTGAATGAAGAAACAAATAGATTAAAGTTTAATAAATCTATTGTAATTAAAATAATACTCAAAAATACTAGTACAAATACAATATTACAAAAACACACCAGAATACATTAAGTGGCTTACCCATACTGTCGTTTCCTTTGTTCAATGATATCCAACATGTTTTAGCTTATGTCTAAAAATGTGAAGAAACCAAGTGTTCCTGTCAAGGTCCGGTGTTAAAGTGTCTCTTGACCAAAGGAAACAGACAGTTTATATTCTAAAAGTTGCCAAATTACCATATTATTGCACTGTACCTGGCCCTGGGACCAGGCACTGAACAAAGGGATGGTTCTTACAGCTAAGGGATTATCTAAGAAAGCCAGACTGTAACTAATTGTCTATTCAAAAAGTTTGAATAGAGTTACAATGCAAAACTTTATGAAGGAAAAATGTGAAACGAAAATGTAACTTTAAATATTAAAACATGGAAATAACATTGCTATAATTAAAACTAAATATAATACATTGATATTAAGAAGGATTTAACACGATGACAAGTGATCAGAAAACAAGGGTATACCACCTTTGATCACGGGTCATCACAACACCAGGCCGATATAATGAGTTATTTACAAATTAACCATACTTTATTGTCATTTCACGCAATGTTGATTAAATAAATATATTCAGCAGCAAACTTAAAATTCATTATTCATTTGTTTAATTATAACTTGGAATCAAGCACTCGGATACTTTGTGCAAATTGATCGCGAAGTTGGAATTCTGTGCAAGAGTGGAGAGAGAAACTGGTGGTTCCCGCCTACTAAAGAATGTTCGCGTTGTAAGAACCGTGTTTCAAGAGATTCGCGAGGCCAGATCCGATGTAAGCGATAGTGGATGTCTAGGAGGAAGCCTGTGTTTGGTACTGTTTCCGTAAAACAAGTATGCGTGACGTTCAATAATGCATAATTCATTCAGATATTCCAAGTTTGTCTTAGAATTCAATTACCTCGGATTTTTTTCGTGTATTCAAAGTGTATCCATGAAAGACACAGCCATTGGAGCACGTTTTATAATATCATTGTGAACTTTGCAGTTGTATTAGAGTGACATCATAACAGTGCATTATGGTCTCATAAAGAACCGGACAGTTTCATTTTTAAATTAATATTTACTGGCAAAATGTTTTGTGTGTATTTATCAAATGTAAATCAAAATTATGCAGCAACACTGCCCTTTCTAAAATCTAATTACTGTTTTGTTGGCAGCCAACGAATATGAAAAGTAATGAAATTTGACGTCATCTGTTGTCATAATAATTGAAGAAAGTAGGCTTTATAGTCCGCCTACTTTTTTTTATTGACTCCCATTATGCTTCGCTATATAGTAGGTATGCACAGTAGTACACATAGCCTAAGATGTAAACATACGCATATAACCCGCATTGATTCAACTATTTGTATAGTTAGTCTCTAAAAAATCCATTTTGCACCATACTTCCATCTTTCTGTAGACCTTATTTCTATGGTGTCATGTCAAAGTCCACAAAGTCATTATTTATTTCTGCATGCATTTTTGCAATTTGTCAATGGAAAGATGGCATTGTGTAGCCCATGTGTTAACGAGAAGATACATAAACTGCACTTTAATCTTTTCATAAACATTAGTATTCGAAGAAAAGATGTCGCCTGTGAGATCGATGTGACAATAACCAGCTGAAGTATGGATTGTGCACCCAAATACTTTTTATACAAGTTGCTATGAAGAGGACATGGCGGTATAAATATAATTGCACAACTCAAGAGCAAAATAGCAAGTTGTTTAATAACTAATTAACCATTTAATTAACACTTTGAAATAACAAATTATTCCTCAGCTTTGCAGAATTGAATCTAATGACTATTATTCTTGGATGCGCGCGTGGAATTTGACATTTGGAGTGGCTACATCAAATTCCAAGATTACTTTTGAAAAGACAAATAATCAGGTCTCGAAATGGATTCCATCCAAAAGCTTTAAGCTTTCTAGAGTTTAGCTTGGTCAAATGCCTGGTTTCTTGCCGAAGTTCAATTTTTTTCAATTCAATTCAGCTTTATTTTCTTATATATAGTATTATTTACAAGGTTTTACATGACACCCTTGTAGATGTATACAGTATAAAGAATATGTTGTTTGAATAGTAGCTATATGATAATCAGCTGATCTAATGATGAACACTAACTAAGACTAACTAGTACAAATTCAAAAGAGGGCATCACAATAAAATTAAGTGTTGCTTGATATACTCAAAACTCCTAACTACAACTGACTTCCAACACGGCAACATGTTCACAGTTAAGTCAATACAATGATTCATTAAAAATATCAAAATTAAATCTTGAATTCATAAAAGACAATCAAAAGTAGTTCTAGTAATACATACAAACAAAGTATTACGCATCTGTATATTTGGAAATTATATACTTTTTAAAATCATTCCTAAGTTTGCATGATATTCCAGAGTGTCTGGGCTTGGCCCATAATTGATTTCTTAGCTATTTCTGATTTATATTATAGAAATTGGTAAACAATTGTTTTGGAAAATTTCTAGGTCTCTTTATGTAATAAACAAATACTGCTGTGTTGAAACAATTACGATAACGATATCATAGATCTTTAGTAAATTTAGTTTTTTGAAAATTGGATCAGAGTATTGATGGATGTGATAAGAAGTCAATGTAAATATTTATTATAAAATTACATATGTCCGATGGTCCGGGAAAATATTTTTCTTGACATTTTCTCATATTCCACCATACCGTGTAAAACATGATATTTCAAACACCAATGCAAAAATTGAAGGCCACACTATTTAAGAAATGAAATGTCATATTTAACGTGCCAATTCAACGTTTAAGAACATCAAAATGTTTTGTAACCTTAGTGATGCCATCGTGACATCACTCAGGTGACAAAAACGTTAAAAAGTTTTTTTTTCTAAATATGCTAGATTTAAAAAATAATCCAATTTCGATTGTTTAACCAGCTTCAAAAGGAAGAATATGTTTTAAATATTATTGTACCATTGGTTTCTATGAGAACTAAAATTTTGGAATGCATTTTTCTGAACCATTTTCATGCATGGATAAGTTCATTTCTTACTTATTTGTATGACCGATTTGCTTACTTTTTTCGGCAAAAACAAGTGAGAATGAATGCTATGCATTGGTTGGTATGAATAAAAAAATCAAAAGATACGTGTGACCTTAAAAAGTTAGTTTTAACAAAAAGTTTTTCAAAAACCACTTTTTGAAATTAAAGAAAAAGGATTCACATATCACACTTTGATAACAATGCGTAAGACTACAATATAAGTCAATGTGATTTATATGGGGGCTTTAACCGTCATTTCGGACCCTTTTTCTGGTTATTAATGTCGATGAACATCATGTACTCTGTTAACACGTAGTTAACACGTAGTTCAATGGGAGAGCTAAGGTTGCTAAACGTATAGAGGGGAGTGTAATACTGCTATTGTATACCAGTCACAAATGGAGCTTCTCTTACATTAAAGGCCCCGTGTTAATTACTTTTAAAATTAATGTTTCAAACCGTTAATAATACATGAAAAATATAAAATATCCGATGATCTTTTGTTATATTTGCCATTTCCATCGACTGTTTATGATATGAAAGTAGAACATAATCCATAACATGTTTGTAATTGTGTCAATCTTTATTCCGTCATTAAATCATTCATTATTGACATTCAAGTACTTCAAGATACCTGTCACTTTACATCCATTGGTAGTTTGGTTGCGATATTGTTCTCACATATTTGAATATAACCTAACCTAACCGGGAGACATGGGGTCCTAGGATGTATGGTCCACTGAACGGTATATTCAGGGAGAATGTTGAGGGCAATATGGTGTTTTGCCAAGACTCAAAACTGAATCAATGGAATTATAGTGTCAAAATTATTTATAGCCCAAAGCACTAATCTCTGGTCATTTTTCGAACATTTTCAAAGTCACAAGAATTGTTACCGTCGAGGAACCAGTGCCCGAATTTTTTCGCTCTTTCTACTTTTGCATCGTTACCAATGACCCAATTGTTATTTAATACAAGTGGCCGAGTCTCTGTTGAATCATTATGAGATCGTGAGTACCAAAGTCCGTCTTCAATTATGTTAAAGTCCAGTAATTTGTATTTTAGGTTTTGTTGTGACATAATTGCCTCATGTAAATATGTCTGATCATTTTCACCATCTGGTAACTTTTTGTCGTCTTTAACATTTGAATATGTCTCCAAAAATCCATATAGTTTGTCTATTACTTTTGTGAAAACAACTTGTGTAGCTTTTGCTGGTTTTAATAAAAGAAAGCCTCCTGCTATCTGGTGATACTTGGAGATTTGTGCTCCAACTATGTCATATTTTAATAGAGACTGGAGCAATGGAAAAGGAGAAGAAAACCATATAGCGTCAACCTCAAATAATAGGATTGTGACATTATTTTCGAGCATTGAAAGAACCAATAACGCCCGGGTTAACATGTATCTTATATACCCTGCTTCCCTGTACTCAACCTTTGTAGTAGAAAGTGAGTGTAGGACGGAGGTGACGTTTGGCCAATCATGTTGCAGTTTCCCCAATGTTGTTTCATCCGTGGCAATAATAAGCACTTGTTCATGAACATGCATATTGACAGTGTTACATAACCAACTGTAAGTCATTTCTAGATATGCTTCATTCACCATCGTCACAGCGACAATGCCCTCTTTAGTTTTATTACCAATCATTTTCGCCCGATCGATAAACATGGCTGATTTATTTTGTTGCATTTCCTTATTTACGATTGACTGAAATGCAGTCTTCCTTGTTGTGGTATAAGCAAGCTTTCTAATATTGTTCTCGACGAAATCAAGTGCTTTTTGTTTTTGCAACAGGAAATTAGACATCAACACACTGACAGTTAGTCCCATCACTGCGAGGCACAACTTTTGTTTAGTGTTCATCTCGATGTCAGGAAAAATCTAAAACAGAAACAGTTAAAAAAGACGCTGAAATACCTAAATAATTAAACACATGGATTCAAGTACGACTCATTTAGTGATATGGACAAATACGAATCGTTTACTTTTTGGATATTGCAAAAAAAATTAAAACAGAGAAGCAAAT